AAACTTTGAATTAATGAACTCTCAAATAAGGTCAAATATATATGTGCCTCACTCAAATATCTTGTGGAATATCATCGAAAAAATAGAAGGTTACGCTCAAGTTAGTTCGAAACACAAAGTCAACCATAAGCTTGCAAATTGTCTACACTTTACTAAATACAATTAATGTACGTGAGCTATGAATCAAAAGGTCTTTTGGGTTGTAATGTAGGCCCTTTGGACAAGGTAGAAAAATATAGGCCAAGTGACTAAAAAAAAATCGAACAAGACATCGATGAAAAATCATCATCCTTCATCTCCAATTACCTCCCAAGAACAACATACGTACACAACTCTATAAAGCACAATACCATATATGCAAATCTCGGAAATTGATCAATTTTTTTTTTCAACTTTTTTCTTTTTTTTTCTTTTTTTTTTTATTTGAGAGACCATTTTTTTCCAAACAAGAATAAATTGCAAGGACAATATTTTCTAGGTGTAGCCATTGGAGATCATCCAAGTATCCTAGAATAGTTTCCCATTACTCATTATTGATGACTCAATAAATCAAATCAACGAGTAAGAGGAGTAGAATCCCTAGAATTCACCTTGCGAGCTCTCTTTATTCCCTTTTTTCCTTTTTTTTTTTCAATCAAATGCCTCAAATCACAAAAATAAATCACAACCCATCTCATACTCAATGTTCCCAAAACAAAAAAAAAAATCACCATAGCTCATCCTCACATTAAACTTTATTCAACCCCAACATCTCCAAATAATAAATAATCACATCAAGGGCTATCAATAAAAGGCTCAAGGCTCAAACGGGCTACTAGGGATAAAATTTTAGGAACAATAAAAGAGGATAAACGAGCTTGATAACAAAAACCGCCTAAATCATTTTTTTAAAGCTCCACGTACATAATCATATTTTTCAAGTAAGCACCAATGCAAGTTCTAGTATTCCAAGTATTCGACTAATCACACAAGAAATAAAATAAAGGCTCAAATTCTCTCAAGGCAAATAAATCAATAATTCAAAGTATATGAGTTATTCATCAAGGCATATAATTCATGATCACCTTCACAATATCTCAATTAACATAAGCAACTCTAGTCAATTCTTGTCTATCCACCAATCATCTGAAACACATAAGACAAAGCAAAAATATTTGACTCAACCAAATTATTACTAATCGAATAAAGCAAGTAAACGTGCATCCTAAAAGATAAAAATAACCTAAAAAATAAAAACAAATGCAAGCAACTATATGATATGGAATAAAGCGATAAAAACTCAAGATATACGACACCTTTTCCCCCAAACTTATTCTTTGGAAAAGAATTAAGTTTAAGAAAAATAAATGGTATATCCCAAGTAACTAACCGATAAGTCGAGCGAGCTCCACTGTAAGCAATCCTTGCACCCTTTAGCACGATCATCTTCTCCATGCTTCGCTCGAACACTCGATCACCACCATTTTTTTTTTATTTTTTTTTCTCACTTTTTTTTTCTTTTTCCATATTTTTAAAAAAAAAACCGTAAGGGTCTTAGGGTAAAATCAGAGGTACCGTAGAGTAAGCCACTTAACGGAAACAGGCTCGATATAATTGAGAAAATGAGTTCTTAATCGGCATGTCCGAAAATAAATAAAAAATAATAAAAACATACCATAAACGATGGGTTGACTCCCAACAAGCGCTTAATTTAACGTCTTTAGCTAGACGTCTTCCAAGCTCTCAATAAGGGTCATTCCCGTTCATACCAAACTCCTCTTTGATCTTCCCATGGCGTCGGTTACCATCTTTTGGCTCTCCAATTTTCCAACCCCGGCCTAATGTAAAAGTCTGGCATTCATCATAGGCTCGAAAAGTGATCTCACCAAGCTCCATGTCAATAAGTACTCGTCCGGTGGCTAGGAATGGCCTCCCTAAAATCAACGGTGTATCACCGTTATCCTTCATATCTACCACCACAAAATCTGTCGGAAACTTAATTCCATCAACTGTCAACCAAACATCCTCTACACACTACAAAAAAATAGAGTTCTAGTGAAGAATTTTTTTGTCACTATATCTACGATTGTTGTCACTATATTGTCACTATATCTACTGTCAGTATATCTACCGTTGTTGTCACTACATCTACAATTATTGTCACTATATCTACAATTGTTGTAGATATAGTGACAATAATTGTAGATGTAGTGACAGTAGATATAGTGACAACACAGTGACAACAAAATTCTTCACTGGAACTCTATTTTCTTGTAGTGACAATTCCCGTGGGACGAACTTGGGATTTATCCGCCATGTGAAGAGTGATCATGGTCGGTTGAAGCTTCAGTAATCTCAACTTTTCGAAAACCGAGAGTGGCATCAAGTTGACGCCCGCCCCTAAGTCGCATAGCCCTTTCCCGGTATATATTTCGCCAACTGCACAATCGATATAAAATCCTCCGGGATCTTCACATTTAACAGGACGGTCTCTATGTAGTAGTGCACTACTCTTCGCCGTGAGTGGAACCACCTCATGAGCCTCACCCGAGCTCTCCATATTCTCTTTCTCATGCACCTTCTCTACCTCAGTCAAAACGTCATCTCTTGCCTCTTGGGCATCCTCAACTTTGCAATCCTCTGGGGTGATCTCCATACTACTTGAAAATTGGCCCTCTTGTTGTTGACTCTCAACCATCGCGGCCATTTGCCCAATTCGCTCCTCCATAGACTTCATTTGATTCTTTATCATAGAGAACTTAGCAAGAGTGTCACCCATGAATTCTTGCGTCAGAGTCATGAACGAGGCGAACATATCTTCGATTGTCGGCTTCTTCGGCTCATTGATGACTCTTGACACTGCATTCACCCCGATTGTCTCGTTCTTCATCCCTTTCATGCCGTTGAGCACCATTGCGGTCACTTGAGTCGCCAACTCCGAAATTGGGTCCCTCTCGTTGGCCATCGCCACCTTCTTGAGCATCGTCCGCTCAACCGGCCACTGGTAACTGTTGGACGCCATCTCCTCGATAATTTCCAGCGCCTCATGTGAACTCCATCCCAAAAGAGCGCCTCCGGCCGAAGCATCTTCTATTGCCTTCATGTTTCCACTCAACCCATTGTAGAAGTAGCATATTTGATAATCCTTGGAAAACCCATGTTGTGGTCATCTCCAGAGGAGTTGCGTGAAACGTTCCCAAGCCTCATAAAATGGCTCTCCATCTTGCTGCTTGAACTGAGTGATCTCGGTTTGAAGCCTTAACATCTTGCTTGGCGGAAAAATTTCAATAGGAATTGTCGGTGCATGTCATCCCATGAAGTGACCGTCCCGACTCTCAACGAGTTGTACCACATCTTCGCCTTATCTCTCAAAGAAAAAGAGAAGAGACGAAGCTTTATTGCGTCATCCGGCACTTCATTAATCCTGATCGTCCCGCATATCTCCAAAAATTGCGCAAGATGCGCGTTCGGGTCTTCAGTTTCACCTCCCCCAAACTGCTCTTGTTGCACTATTTGAATTAATTCGGGACTCAATTGAAATGTATTGGCTGCTATCCTCGGTCCATGGTCTCCACCAAAGTATTGATTTTTCTGCGGTTGGAAAATTGATCGAATCGGGTTTCCTTGCACTGTTTGGGCTTGTCGCTCGGCCACTTGACGTTGCAACTCCACCAATTGCTCTTCGAGTTGTCTTATAAGTTCTATTTGCTCGGCCATTGTAATCTCGCAAGAAAGAAAGAAAAAGAAAAAAAAAATATTAGAAAGGAGAAAAAGAAAAATAAAATAAAATAAAATAAAATGTCTAAACTAATATCTATTCGCTTTCTTCTAATATTAATTAATTCAACAAACAATCTCCGGCAACGGCGCCAAAAACTTGTTCGCTAATTATTTTCGCTCTCCGCAAGTGTACGGCGTAGCTATAGGTAGTGGCGAGCAAGGTCGTATTCCACAGAGATTGTAGTTAAATTAATTAAGTACTAAAATAATAACAATTAAATATTATTTAGACTAACGAATGAGATGATGATTCTAAACTATGAAATTAAATTAAAAACTAATTTACCTAAAGAAATAAAAATAAATCAAAATATAAAAGATAGATTCTAGGTTCTGCTTCCTCGGAATTAATTCATAAAACGTTTATATTCAAACAAACCTTATTTAATTTTACCAATCGTAGAGATAATCGCTAAATTGATTTCAACCTTTCTCTCGAACAAGCAAATCGTAGATATTAATTATTATCTATCTCCTCTCGGTCTCAAGATGAACAACTAACTCCCATAAGTTCCTAGGATTTGCGTTCTCTCGCAAGGTCCTATCAACCTCTCGGTCTGTTTATTCTCTTACGTTATAAATTTCCCAATTCTAGCAATTAATTATCTCCTCTCGGTCTCAAATTAATTACAAATATGCATTCATAGTGGCCATCTACTCACGCAATAATAATACGCTCAAGAAATTTATAAACGAAAGATAAACCAGAATGAAATAAATAAAAACTAAATCATAAATCAATCCGAGTACTAATAAATCCTAGAATCCAAAATAAATTAGCCTAGAAACATGCTTTCAAAATAAATATAAAACATTGAGTTCGAAAGAAGAAAAGAAAAAGAAAGAAAAAGCTTATTCGGCTTCGTCGATCCTTTCTTCCCGGCTTTCTCCCTCGTCTTGCTCGTGTTTCTAGCCTCCAAAGCTCTTCAAAGATCTGAAAATTAGGTTCTAGACTCCTAAAAAATGTGTCCAAGTGTTATTTTTATAGTTGAGGTCGAGTCCTAGTCGAAATAGGTCAAAAATACCATAAAAATAGGAAAACGCGCAAAATCTAATTTTGACCCGCCCAGACTGACACGACTCGTGTCATAGGCCACACGAGTCGTGTGAAAAGGGCGCAAGCTACATTCACGACCCGTCGGAACGACACGACTCGTGTCTCGAGCTCACACGACTCGTGTGTACCTGGGAGTTCAAAGCAGCACCAAATCGTCATTCTCAGCTCGGTTCGTGGCTCCTGGTCAAATTTTCGGCATCCAGTCGACTCCTGGTGATGAAAATACGTCCAGGTCGCTGGGCATGGCGAGGTCCGACAATTTTCCGAGCATTTTCTTCCACCTGCCCGGCGACAGCAGCTCCGGTCTTCTCTCTTCAACGGCGCTCGGTTCTTTGTTCGGAGCTCCGGCAATTATGGAACGCGTCGGGAGCGGCAAGATGGCGCGTTGGTCAAGCTCCTCCTGAGCAGCAATGGCGGGCGATGTTCTGTACGTGAAATTGAAGGTGATGACTTTTTATTCACAGCAAATTACCAAACTACGCCCAATTGTGTGGCTTTTAGTTCCAAGTGGGTTGTGTCATGAATTGGGCTGCTAAGTAGTGGGCTGTGATAGCTGATTTCCTTTTCTCCAATAATGCCTTGTAATTGGGCCATTTTAATACACAACTCGCACACCGTCTTTATCCGATTATTGTCGTTTTCGCTTTCTGTAAATATCTCGACCCCATTTTCTATAAAAACACAAAATAAAACACCTTCATCATAGCTTAATAATATTAATTAAATAAATAATAATATATATCAAACTACGAAGAAACGGGCACAAAAACCACTATAAAATGCACGTAAATATGACGCATGTCATTGGCGGGCTCTTTTTCTGTGAGGTATTCATTTTTCAGATCTTTATTGATATGGTGACGGAGAAAAATTAATGCCTTTGCCTTCTGGGCGGGAGTACTTTGAGATGTAGGATCAATTGTGGCACTCAAATCAAATGAAGCCAGGTGAATGTCGACATCAAGAGCCCACGTTAAGTAATTACTTCCATCAAGGGCGAGCTCAGCAAATTCTCTTTTGGTGATATCAGACATTGTCAAATTCTTGAAGGAAAGAGATAATCTTTTTCTATGGCAATATCAAAAAAAACTTAGAGCGTGCTGATAATGTGTTGTAAATTGGAACTCTTAATCTTCAATAAGCATCCATCAATCCAAGCATAAGATGTGCAGTAAAGAGGACGATAAAAGAGAAACAAAAAAGTGTATTTTTATTCATCGGTATATCACCCTTTTATAGGGTTTACAAGAGAGAAACACTAAACCTAATTTCCTAACTAATAGACTTCAGGCCCAATTATATATTAGTAATGTCTATATTAATATATTTATAACAAAATTTAAAAATTGCACATGGTTTTTCCGTATAGAATGAAGTGTAATTGATTTGAATTGAAATTTTTCCTAAATAATTACAACAGAATTTGTTTTAAATTATCTTGAAAGTTATTAGGCACATGGTTTTTCCTAAATAAATGCAAATGATTTTGTTTCAAAATATCTTGAAAGTTATAGATCACATGGTTTTTCTCTAAATTAATTTATTTAGGAAAAAATTCTAACTACTTTAAAAAAAAGTTTTGAAAAATAAAGTAATCTCTACCAAAAAAAAAAAAAAAAAATGACACGTCTGAAATGAGGTTGTCAATCATTTTAAAATAATATGATACCATACTGACAATGTTCGTTTTAAGAGATAGGCGTCACCAAAAGAGATAAGCATAATTGATTTACTATCAATCATCTTTATGGAATATACACGATTCTATTCATGTAACTGATACTAATTAAGAGAGATAAGGTTTTCTTTTTCTAAAAAAGTGTTTCATAACTAATTTAATTTAATAAATTATTTATTGAACCGATTGTAATGCGATATCAATTGATTTGAATTAATAAACAAGAATATCCATAAATTTAGTTAAAAAAATAGAAAATAGAATCCACAATTTATGAAAACTCATATTTTGCTTACAAAATCCAAATGTAATTGAATCTGAGCATTTTAAAAATGTATCATGATTTATTTCGAAAAGTTTTTTTGTTTCTAACTAACGTTGATTTTGAAATTACACTATGATATGATAAATTTGATTAAAATAATGACAAGATATTGAATTTACCAAAATCTTTTCAGAATTTTGATAACGAATAAGACATAAGAATCCATAAAAAAAAAACAGCAAGAACTAACATCTCACACCGCGACTGCAGGAACAAAAGAAGTAGGAACATAAGCACAGGCGGGAGTACATTCAAATTTTGAAAAGTTACACACGGTTTTCCTTATAAAAGTTGCACACATGTTTTAACTGATTTAAATACAACTGGATAAGCTTTGGTATTAAATATAAAACATCAAATTTGGAACCAATTTTGTTACAAAAAATGTGGATTCAGAATCAATTTTAGTTACCGAAAAATGTGGATACGTTTTTTATGGTATATTCCATTCAAATATCAAATGTTTCAAAAATAAAATATGCACGTGTTTTTTAAAAAATTTCTTATAATGGCAAGTCAATTATATTATTTTTTAGTCAAACTTACTAAAAAGTTGAATCACATGTCTCAAACGAGGTTGCTACTAATTTTATAATAATACTATATCCTAATAATAAGGTTTGTTGAAAGGGATAAACATAATTGATTTATCATATAGTAATGATAAAGCTTGTTTAAAGAGCAACATGATTGATTTACTACCAAACATGTTTATTTGATATACAAGATTCTATACAAGGAATTGATACCAAAATAGTCAATCTGAAATTATTTAATTAAAATAACAAAAAATTGTTAAGAAAATGTAAAAATAATAAATGGATTTTTCTAGACGTGCAACATATTGTTACCACAAAAATTAAATTGAATATTTACATCAAAATATCACGGTTCTAAATAATAAAATCTCACGTGCTTTTCAAAAGACGTCGTGTAAACATTAAAGAGGCACTAATTTTTATTCCACAATAATTAATTTGAAATTAACTCACAAAAATTTTGAAAATTTTGTTAAAGAAAAAGAAATCATAATCCAAAATTTTAGGGTGATATCAAACTTTTAAAAGTGGCACTCGATTTTTCCTTATAGAATGAAGCTTAATTGAGTTGAATCATATTTTTTTCCCTAAATAATTATAATCGAATTGGTTTCAAAATATCTAGAAAGTTATAAATCATTTGGTTTTATTATAAATAAATTTATTTACGAAAAACATTTTTCTTAACTATTTTTAAAAAAAAATGTCTCCAAAAAATTTTTGAATCACACATCTGAAATGAGGTAGCAAATATTTTTTAGATAATATCATACCATAATGATAAGGTTTGTTTAAAGTGGTAGGCGTAATTGAAAGAGATAAACATAACTGATTTACTACCCAGCATGTTTATTGGTTATACATAATTATATTAATGTAATTGATACTAATTGAAAGAGATAAGATTTTTTTTTTTTTCTAAAATGTCCATATCTAATTTAATTTAATAAATTAGTTATGAACTGATTGTTATGTGATATCTGGTATGTAAAGACCTTCGACCGGCTCGATTCGATCTATTCTGTCTCCTTCGCTGATGGATAGCCTTCAGAACCTGCAAAAACTTGACACTTGAGGGTTTCTGGTGAAAAGTCTGTAATGTTGAAGTTAGAGATGTGATTAGGACAATGAACAATATGTTGTTAAAAATAGAGTGTGTAATGTAACAATGGTCATATCTCACTCCCTTATATAGGGGGATTATATCTTGTTGCCCAAGATTGCGTCGAGTGGGCTACTAAACTACCAGTTCGTACTACCTGAACTGCCCAATTTTGTTAGGCCACGTGACCCTATCCACGTGTAGATCTTATTCTAATAATATTCCTTCTTATCCTTTAGTCTTCCTTATTAGACAGTTTATTCGTGCGACCAACCCCAATTACCTCGGGGTATAATACCCACAATGTTGAGCTCCTATGGTATGCTCATCTGGTCGATTCTATGACCAGTTGTACCTTTAGGTCGAGCTTCAGCCAGGTTGTCCGAGGGCTCTAGCTCGACCTTTCGGTGCTCCATGGATCATCGATGTCTCCATCGACCTAAGGATTCTTCGACATGCAATGCCTTCGATCTTTGTTTGACCTGCCGGTTCAACCATTTCGACCATGCTGCTTCTCAAGTCTAGTTAACCCTATATATTATCTTATATCAATGTCAATTGATTTGAATTTAATAAACCAAAATATCGACAAATTTTGTTGAAATAGAAAAAGATCAACAATTTTATGAAAACTTCATATTGCTTACAAAATCCGAATATAATTGAACTTAAGCACTTTGAAAATATATCAGGATTTGTTTTCAAAAGTTCTTTTGTTTTTAAATGACGTTGATTTTGAAACTATACCATATTTTAATTATAAATTTTGTTTAACGTAATGATAAGATTTGGACTGAACTAGCCAAAATCTTTTCAAAATTTTGGTTAAGAAAAAAGATATAAGAATCCACAAAAAATTTGTGCATTTAAATTTTAAAAATTGCACACGGTTTTCCATATAAAAGTTGAACAAGTTTATTAAATTGATTTAATTTATTTTTTATAAATAATTAAATAAGTATTTAAATCGAATATTAAACATCAAATCCATAACCAATTTTGTTATAAAAAAATGTGGATACAAAACTGATTTTAGTTACAAAAATATGTGGATATGATTTTGATGGTATATTTCATTCAGATCCCAATTGTTTCAAAATAAAAGATGCAAATATTATTTTTAATTTTTTATATATTAGTAAGTCAAACAATTTATTTTTTTTATTCAAACTTACTAAAAATTATTTTCCCACCAACCTTTTTATATTACTATAGATTATTAATATATAAATTTTTTAAAAAATTGTGGGGTTGGGCTGGGAGGGGTTCAAGATATGGACCTGATCTGCTAAGCTGTCTGACCAGTTTTAAATTGGTGCGGGTTTGATCTGCCTCAAATGTTATAGGTTGGGCTGGATGGATCCGGATCCAGATTTTTTTTGCCATCGATTACGCACGGGACACTGAAGATAAATTAGCTTAGTGAATATTGATTGATTTAAAAATAATATGTAAAAGGAGCTTTTTATTTATCTTTTAACTTTTGTTTTCATTATATACTAGTACAACGCCCGTGTATTACACGGGTGCTTGCTAATTTTTTCTTAAAATCTAAAATTAATGAGGAAAAGTAATTGAAATTTTCAATAACTTTTATAAAAATATATATATTATTATATATTTAATATGACATTTTTTTATTTGTGCGACTTATCTGTGTTATATTATAATATTTTTTTGACTTACAACATATAACTACATTAAACATAAATATATCAATTAAGAAACAATTTTTATTTTTCTAATGAATTTTAATAAATATTATTATTTTTTATTATTACAAAGATAAATATGATTTATTTATTTCATATATACAATATGGATGTCAAATCGAAGATCATCAAAAGATGATTAATTTGATATATAATATATGTAAAAACAGATAAGAAATACAAAAGTTATCATATTTTAAAATACATTTACAATTCAATAGCTAATTGAAGGAAACAAATCAAAAGTCAGGGATATATTAGTTACTTAGTGTCTCACTATGTAAAATTACAAAGAATTAAATGATTGGTTATATTAGTAGAAATGATATTAAAATACATAAGTTAGCTAAATAATATTTATGGAATATTTGAACCTAGATTATTAATTATTAATATATCAATATTATTTGTCCAAACCTAATTACGAAACATGATTCTTCGCCAAGTAGGATTCCGAAGCACAAGAGACAGCTACGTAGGCTCAGCGCATTCGAGAATAATATATAGAGAGGATGTTTTATGTTTAATTTATATATATATATATAGGGTCACGCTCCGGTGAGAATGGTTCCTAGGGAAAGAAATGAGAATAAATCTCAACCATAAGATTGAATGATCCAACATCTAAAAAAAAGTCAAAATTATACTTTCAGTAAAGGTATTGTGGTATTTTTACAC